GGATGGATGGATGGATGGATGGATGGATGGATGGATGGATGGATGGATGGATGGATGGATGGATGGATGGATGGATGGATGGATGGATGTTTTATTTCTATTCACTCACTCTTCCCCATTTCTTTGAACTACTGTACTAATAGCTACAATGATGCAAACCTAGTAGCGTCACTCCATGACTTGTGAGTTCAACCTCTCCCTCTCATGGGAGGCCCTCTTGGAGGGACTACTTGATTCACATTAATTCTGCTCAGCAGACATTTAGGGAACATTTTGTGCCAGTTGAGGTCTTGAGTCCCACCCGAGGGATGTCACATGATATGAAGTGAAGATGCACTGTGCCAGCTTAGCTTGATGAAATCTTATCTGTGCTGCTGGTTTTGCTTCTTGCCTCGCCTGCTTTGGCAGAACGCCTGCAGTCTTTGCCAGACAAGAGTTCCCGGGCTGCCTGGGCAGAAGGGAGAGAAGGGGTCCCCTGGAGCGCAAGGAGTAGAAGGCTTTGTTGGAGAAAAGGTACATCCTGTTCTGACATTTTTAATTTATTTTGCATTCTAATCCATCCTTTTTGGATCACCATAGAGTACCATTTAAATATTTTATACCCAATGCATTTCAAACGTTTACTGTCCAAATATGACTCGATATAAACCAAACTCAAGATGATTTATCTGCAAGAGTAGACAGAAAGTTATGCTTGATAAGAGAAGAGGCCTTTGGAAAAGGATGATGATGATGTACAGCATTAAAAAAATGCAGCTCCAAATTAAATCGATTGCTTCAATTGGTAACAAGTAATTGAATTACTGATTATTATTTTTTTTTATATAAGCTGAAAACGTAATTAAATTATTTGTTACCAACTGAAGCAACTAATTTAAGTTTGAGCGGTTTTTCTTCTTAGAGTGTACATAGAAATCATTTCATTATAACATGTTATGTGGATGCAGAGCATGTCTGAGGTAGAAGAAGACTTTCACTGACAGCACTTGCAATGACAGTTTCAAAGATTTTATTAATTAAGCTCACTATGTCAACATATGGAATTCATAAGAACAGATTAAGAGCTTGAAGAAAATTAAAAGTAGATATAACCAATAATTCTTTTTTTTTTTTTTTTTAGATAGAAAGAACAAAAGAAAAGTTATGTGATGTTTTTAGAGTACGGGGTGATGTCAGACACCATCTCTCTTTGTTGCTCTCAGATGTCTTGTTTACAGCCAGGTCAGCCACAGATGCATGTCCGTCCACGTAAATAGCTGCCACTCCGAGCTTTGCCCCTCCCTGCCCATAAAATGCCGTCAGGACAGCAAAGTAGTGTAGGAGGCGGACAGCATGTCCAGCAGATTGATTCCAATCTTTCACCTAATGGGGAAGTTTTGCTTATTGCTCCTTTAATCATTTTTGCTCCCTGTCTGTCATCTGTCTTCTTTTATTCACATTTCAGTGTTGAAAAATAGATCAATGAATAATTGCCTTCTTTCCATTAGAAGCTTGAAACTAAAGCAGTTTCCAGGAAAGCCGTCAAAAGAATAAATCACAACAATTATGGAAGTAAATACATCTTACAAAGGAGTAAATATAAGGAAACGAATGTGATGAAAAGATGTAGAAAAATATAAAAACACATACAAAATAATATTTAATTTAATTCTAGAGAATTGTTAAATAAATCAATTGCAATTCTCTTTTAGGGCAACAGTTATTGTTTGAATATTAGTAATGTTATAAAGTGCATTCTAAAATAACACAGCATATAAGAAAGATTTTTTTTTTTTGCCTAAGTGAAACATTTAAGCACAATCTTGGATTTGGTTTTATTAAACCTTGTATGATACAAGAAGATTTAAAAATATAGTTTTCTGAAATCTAAACTAAATGTGTATAAAATGATACATATCAAAGTAATTTATGTTTTAGATCTTTTTGAAATTGTCCCATTCTTATCAGAATTGATCGTTTATCACATATAGCATTTGGACATAAAGAGCAAGAACCATGATTTATAAAAGTTAGAAAAGGGCCTATTCCGTCAAGATAAAATTGAGGTTTGGCTTGCATTTTACAACATGCTCACACACAGAAGTAGTACACAACCCTATTTCATGCACATGTTTGTTTTTTCCAAAAGGTCTGTCCTGAATAAACTATTGCAATTTTTAATTTAAATGCATACAATTCTAGCTTTTGCTTGGGAAAACCCATATACTATAAATCCAATGTCACAGGTTCCAACAATCTTTAAGGAGGATTTTGCAAAGTAGAAATATGTTGCATCTATGGCTATAAAAAATCAATCGGATTAATCATGATTAATCGATTACTACAATAATCATAAACTAAATAAATTATTGATTAATCGTTAATTGAAGTATGGAGACTCTCAAACATGCCTTTAGCTGACAGATCGACCCACTTAGAGAAGTAACTATACCAAAATTGTAAAAATATGTAAACATTTGGCCTTTAAAATGTTTATGGAGACTTTACTCAGTTGTTAAAACACTCTACTATTAAAGTAATGTCACTTTTTTTTTTTTTCTTTCAGTCAGACAGGAAATCAGGATTTTGCTTAACATAAACCAAAGTGTTGTCACCATAGTAATGTTTCATGTTTTTGTTCTGAACAGGGGGATCCAGGTGTAAGAGGTCCAATGGGTAATCCAGGAAAAGAAGGCCCAAAGGTGGTAACAGTCATTTCAACACTATAACTCAGGGTTTTTTTTAGAAATGCCTTTAATCATGAAGCCTTTCTCCACAGAAGAACAATGTTAAAAAAATGGAATTATTTGTTGCTTTTTGATGAAATTTGAGTGAATTCTGCAGAGAAATATTTATGTTTTCTACATACAGTACCTCTCTGCTTATTTCTGTAAAACCTACAGTAAGGAGCTTTTCTACGATTAATATTATTAGGATCACTTAGTGCACTCTGTAAAAAATAGTTGCTATGGATACAGCTTTGCACCAGTGAAAGAGGCTCAGCAATTTCAAGTTGTGCACTGGAAGAGGCATTTTGAAATGTACCCTTTACACCTATCAGCCTTTAGTTTGAGACTTCTGTAGGGTCTGAGAAAAACATTCATTTTTCCTTACTTCACTGATTCTGCTCACTCTGCAGGGTGTAAAAGGAGAGAGAGGGTTCCCAGGTCCCACTGGAGATAAAGGTGACGAGGTAAGTAAGTGAAATCTATACCCCAGCAAATTAGTCTACCGGTCATCAGGCCGCCTGGAAGGGGCACTGACATTGAGAAATGAGGTTTTCAGACAAATTTAAATACAGTTCTGTGAGAAAAAAAAAACTCACAGATCTATTCTGCTTTTGCTTTTTTGTTAAATTTAGGTTTTTAAGGTCATATAACAAGTTTTACTTAACAAAGTAGGCCCAAGTAAATAAAAAAAGCATGATGTCACTTATCGGGTAAGAAATAAACTGTTCCAAACCAGCCTGGCAAAATGTGGCACTATAATACAGCAAGTCCTCCTATTAAATCAGGAATTAATCAGGTCTTACAGAACCTTACACCATTTAAACCCAGGCCTCATTATGAAAATATAGTCAGGGCTAAGAAATTAAACAACTCATTAGAAAGGACTAAGTAGACTTAGAGATCTCAAAAGCAACATATTAACACATCGTCTTGAAAACTTCAATCACAGATTAAAATAAATGTTTTTTATTTCTATTTTCTGTGAAAATATTAAAAATCTATTTTCAAGGTCTTATGGAATCATATTAATTTTAGTGTGGAACAATTTAGCAGTGATGAATATTCCCAGGAGTGGTCTACCAAGAGTTCTTTGAAACTAATTCGAGGTCAGAGAAAAACCTTGGGCAATATCTAAAGCTCGGCAGGCCTCACTTACCTGAGATATCATCAGTTTTCATCACCCAGCAATAAGAAACAGAGTGAGAATCCCAAAGTCACAACCTCTGCTTACCCAATACAGAATAAGTCCTGTCTCATACCTGACAACATATCCTGATAATCCCTGAGACTTTCTGGAAAATATTTTAGGACTGATAAGACAAAGATGGAACTTTTCTGAAGCCGTATGTCCTCCTACATCTACAGTAAAATGTGTAATGAATTCTGGAATATGAGAGTCAATCCTTTTGGTTGTACTGTGATAGAATCATGAATTATATTCTGGAGCAGATTGTCAGGTTTGTAGGAAGTTAGTTGAGGACCCAAAGGCAGAGATTAGCTTTGCTGAATTAATAAAAAAAAGGAAACGGAAACCAAATCCGAGGACCAAAATACAGTAAACCAAAAATAAGGAGACGTCAGGGGCAAACACATATGGGGAGCAAAGTAACAACAAGAAACTAGCAAACAGTAACAGAAGAGGAGGTGTTTAAATGGGAAAGAACACAGAATAGACTAATCAGCTGATATGGAGCAGGTGTGGATAGAAGTAACTAGAAGAGTGCTAAGGGGAAAGAAGACTGGCACAAGGAGGCAACAGAGAGTAACTCAAAAAAAATGCAACGCAGGTTAAATATGGAAAAGAAAGCAATGACCAACAAAACAGAATTACATGAATAACTGAAAACTCAAAGAAAAGTCCAAAAGGGGAGAATATCAGTGCTATATCAGTTTATAGCAGCTTTGGATTATGCAGCAGGAAACCTGCACACCAGCCAACATCTATATAGCAAGATAAAAAAAAAAACATCACTAAAGTTCCACAGTTGCCTGATTAAACTTCCTACTTAAATCGGATTGAGATGTCAAGATGTTTTTTTCCTTTGCTTTATTTTTTGGATTGTTTTTTCACCCAAAACTATCCAATTCATTATTTAAGGTCCTTGTTTTGTTTGTTTTTTTTACCAAGAATGATACAACCAGTTTTCAAGAGTACAGTTATTTTTCATATATCGCTACGCTGGTTTGAATCTTTATTTCAATAATGCTTTGATGGTATTGTTATTCAAAAACAAACCATTATTTACATATTTACCAGGCATATCGTTTTTCTAATATTAAAACTAATCAGAAACATTTAGCCGGACACCATGCGATGTTCTCATCTTATTATAGAGCCTCTCCATTTCTCAGTAAAAGCTATTAAAGTCTGTCCACAACACAGCTTGAGCACTGTGTCCTTCTCAAAGAACCCACATTATTTTGAACAAAGCATGTAATGTGTATTTGTCTATATTCAGAGTTTATAACAGCAATTGCAAGATTTAATTTTTTTAAGGAGCAGGAATATAAATAGATTTGATTGTTTATGCTAAAATGAAATACTACGCACTTTAAATACATTTGCCGACACTGCAGGCAAATTTAAGATTAATATCTAAATCGTTTGACATTTTATAATTTATTTTAGTGATTGTTTGCTTCTAAGATTTTCCAATAATACAATAAAGTAATCTTTCATTTTTTTAACTTTCCACATCTATTTTTTATGAAATGTGCAGTTTTTGTAAAAAATAAAAAAAATTATATGTTAATCTATCATATAAGCTCATTACATTTGTCCCATAAAATAAATTAAAAATGATTTTTAAAGCTTCCTCCTTGTAAAAATAGATTTCAGCTTATTTCTTTTTGCAGCATTTAGCAATAAAAGCTTTACTGACCTGCTTTTTAAAAGATAAACTAATTGATTTTAGTTATTTATTTATTCAAAAAGTTTAGCTTTTTTCTTAAATGTTGTAGATAAAACTGTACGTCATTTTTAACCATTGAACTTAACATTTCTGATGAAATTGGTAAATATTTAAATTACCTGCTCATATACGTATATTTAGATTGTGCACTAAAAGCAATACTTTCAACATTATTCTGTGCTCTAGTGTATGTCTTCTTGGTGTAGTCAATGTGTCCAGATGCTTGTGTCAGTTTTACAGATGAAACACTCAAATAAACGGATTTTATACCTCTCACATAAGGTGGCGGATTGTTAAAACTCACAGCTCCTTGGTTTTCAAAGTGAAGTTGATCTCTCATTTTATAAACATGTGCTCCTGAACNCAGACAACACAGTGCTTGTAACTGACTGAAGAGTTTGCTTAGATGAATGCTGATGCTCTCTGTGTCTCCTTAAGAATGTGTCAATTGCCATGATGTTATTAGAATTTGATTTAAAAATATTTGATTATTTTTGCAGGGGCCACCTGGAGCTCCAGGACTTCCTGGTGTGGCTGGCCGAACAGGAGCACCGGTAGGAATTTCTTTTTTTTAACGTTTAAAATAGAATAAAAAATATGCACCATAACTAAGCTGGGTCACATTTTTTTTTAATAAAATAAGTTTCTGACATGAACACCCATTTGAACGTATGAAGGAAGTTTGATGACTGCAGAGCATCCATCAGTTTCCAGGGATTTTGAATGATGTTGCAATATACTGAGACCAAGCAGTGACCACTCAGATGAATGACACTTATCCCACACAGGGAATAATTGAGTGTACAATGGGTTTATTTTTACCAGAGTGTAATCAGGTCCACGCATGACTCCCATGTGTAATAAGCCTGCATTGTGTTAAAAGAACAGAGAGTTTGTGCCTTTGCTTCATCCCTGAACTGTACTGCAAATTTAATATCTAAAGTATGTCCACTTCCCAGACATTGCTAATGGAAGATTAACAACATTATTACATTTTCTTTAATATAATACCTGTTTTGGATGCAGGAAATAATTGGAAAATGCTGTAGAAGTTAAAATGTTCTGCAAACTTTGGAGAATTATGTAAAATTATGATGAATTTTAATTTCTCCTAAGACTTATGTGTAGGTCCCATGCTTTTCATTTGCATTGAAAAAAAAATCTAATGAAAATAATGCTTCAAGAAAACAGGTCTATGCATTTGACACTATAGCATGCATTGTTTTATCCCCTGCTAAGACAGGTGGCTACATGATGAAAAAAAAGCATGTCTTCTGGAACTCTCAGACGTCTGTTTTTCCTGCTACACAATTTGCACATCTGCTAAATATGCAGCTTAAACCCAACGATAGCATCCTTAATCTCATACAAAACAAAGAAAAAGCTGTCTGACTTTACATAGACTTAAATATGCTTTAAGCAAAATAGAAACTAACCGGATGACCTACTTCTGAATTAATTTGGCTGATAATTATCTGACCACAAATTGAGCATTACAGCTTCATCCCCAGACTGCCTGTTAATCCTTACATCTGGAAAAAAAAAAGGAAGATACAAAGAAACGGTGATATCATAATAAAAATAACGTTCTTACCCTATTGATGTAAGGTGGGATCTTCAAAGAATCCAAAATAAGGTGATCTGCAAAGATTATGTGCAAAAGGATGAGCTGTGTAAACAAGTTTGGTCTGTCCCATTTAAAGGAAAAGTCTGGTCCAATTCAGAATTCAAACTTCTGAAAGTACTTTAAATATGATCCAAGTCATCTTGAAAACATTCTTCTTTGAAACATTGGCTACATATTACGCATTTTTTCTGTTTGATGGCTAATCCGCCCTCTTCAAGTTGGCAATCTGATGGTGAACCCGTCCGTGGAGGATGATGAATCGGAAAGGTGAAATAACTAATTTTTTTTCACTTTTACCCGATGTATTAAAACATCCAACTGCCATGCACGTAGGCATTGTCAGTTTAACTATAGCTCTCATTATTTTCAATGGTTAAGTCTCAAAATCTTAATTAATTGTTGTTGATTGCAGGCGTGTCTGGTAGCTCCCATTGATTTTGCTTGTAAAGCGGAGAGAATGGCGCTCGGCTACTGCACCATGATGTCACTGCCGGAAGATGTCATGATCTCAGCTCTCAGAGATCCCGAAGAAAATTACTATTCTTCTTTTTTACTGATTAACGCTAAATTCGTTAAATCCCTGCCATCCTATTAGTTTTAGTTATAGATAATGATCCATTGATCATTCTTTGCTGACTGGACTTTTCCTTTAAGTGAGCACATGGTACGTATGTGCTACTGGGAGTTTGAGAGGGGACGTAAAACAAAACATGTCTTGGATTGGGGGTAACAATGATAATAATCATTCAAAAAGCACTTTACAAAAGTATTTCGAGGTACTACAAAAAAATTAAAAAAGGTTTACCGATAATTCAAAAAATTTTAAATCAATCATAAAACCTAGAAGAGACTCTGAGCATCTTTGTGACCCCCCTCTGACAAAGAACTAAGATTTACAGCATGATTACATTCTAAACAATTGGATTTATTTCCTCGGAATACACTCTTCAAATAATAAAAGAGGATAATAGTTACTATTTAAAAGCACATAACTGCTTTGTGTGGACGTTGAAGGGGCAACAAATCCCTCTAAGCCTCCCTCCCATTTACAGGCTCTGTAATGTTTTCTATTGGTGGTTATTATTCTGTTTTGTGTTTTATAAACATGCTACAAGTATTTTTTGTTTGTTTTAATTGCATATAGAAATGTGGCTTATGCCTCATCATGCCAATGCTGTCTTAGTGCCCGTAATGACAACAGGAATTGTTCCTGTTCAAGTTTGCAGCTGACTTTCAAACTTGTTAAAGATACTGATCTTTAACAAGTTTCAGTCATCCAGGTCATAGTCATTCCGTAAATATTCAAAAAATATCCACTGGACTTGGTTTTTAAGATTTGAAGACGTTTCGCCACCTCTCCAGGAAGCTTTCTCAATTCTTGTTAAAGATAGATGCAAGAACTGAGCACACAATCACTTGCAGGTTTAATAAATCGCTTTGCAGGTTATAATAATTTTGTTTTTGCCCCCTCCACCCATAACTTTCTGCCATATTCTAGATATTAATGAAGGCACAAACAGGAAAAAAATGTTTGCAACTGCTGTCCACTGATTTTGCACTCCTAATCCTTTGTTATCATCTGCTTTGCACGGGTAAAAAATAATACTTACTTTCATAAATTACAAAACATGACTTTATAGAAGTTGCCCAGTGACAAACGGACGACCTGTCCAGGGTGAATCTGGCCTTATGCCTATAGACTGCTGGAGATAGGCACCGGCCCCACCGTGACCCTTATGAAATAAGCAGGGGAAGATGGATGGAATGGACATCCTATAAATCTGCTAAATTTCCTTGTGTCTTACCTGAAAAACAAGCACTTTATATGATCACAACAAACACAGCAAGATCGTTATCAATGCTTATCTTTCCAAGAACTTGACAATATGCAATAATTAATATTGCAACTTAATTGTCTGAAATGGAAGCAGCAATAATTTTCTTTTAGATATGAAACAATCCAATTAGATGTTCAGGTGTAAATATATAGGTGAGACAAATGAGACTAAAAACAGAAATATCAAGAACATCACTGACTCTCCTGATATTTTAAGTGAGTTTTTTACTGAGTAAAGCTTATTGTATATGGTTTAGTTCAACTGAAGGTGTGGAGCCAGAAAAGAACCGACAGACACCTTTAAATCTAGCCGACAACATACATCACCTGAGGTTTGGATCAAAGTGGTCATGCTTGCTGCCCAATAATAATGCTTTAAGACCAAGCCCCACAATTTCTGTCAGATTTATGAAGCTGGGTCTTTGAAATGATTTGCTTTGATATGAAATGCAGTTTGAAAATAGGATTTTTGAAGAATGATACAGTTAAAATGTTGGGAAGCCTGAAAATGTACACAAACGCCTTCACAGATTCCACATCTTTACAATATTTACTCAAACAGTTAGGCTCATCAATTATACATTTTCTAAGACTGTAACAAAATGAGAATCTGTTTTTGAAGTTTCATTAGCACTTCTGAGAAATTAAAAAAAGTCAGAAGGAACCAAATATCAATAAATCCTTCTTTTAACTGTAGCCTCCTGACTTTATAAGCCAATACAAATCTTATCTCCAATCTACGCAGTAAAAAGGGAACTAAATTTATAAGCAAGGAACTCCACTATCCTTTGGGACTCTTTCCTAAATAGTTTAGAGATGTGTCTCTTCCAATCTGATTCTATTTCCTTCTGGTTTTATTGTGAAATATTTTAAATCTCTCATTCCATTAATTGGGAATATAAAACGTATTATAGTAATGCTAGTAAAGGTTTGAAATTATTGCACTATTTTTCTTGTCGGTTTTCAAAGCTTTTTCAAAGAATTGTTTATTCTGTTTTTAAATCAGCTTTAATTCATGGGTTACTGTTTCGTTGTCTTGTTTGTTTGTTTGTTTTTTTTTGCAGGGACTAGTAGGTAGACCTGGTCCAGTGGGTCCACAAGGATCAAAAGGAGAAAAAGTACGATTTGTTGCTTTCTATGAAATTTTACTTAATAAAAACATTGTTTCTTATGCGCACAATTTTGTAGGTCAATAAAAAAAGAAATCTGTCATTGACTTTTTTTTCTTTTAAATGGCTGACTATTAAATATTTTACTGCTTTTTCTCAGTAACTTCAGCAAAAGTGTTGCTAGATTTAACAACAACATAACAGAAGAGAAAATGTTAAATTAGTAGGAAATATCTTTTAAAAATGTTGATGAATATCAAAAGCAGAATTGTTTCTACTGAGTCATCCTTCCTAGAGTCGCTGAGATGCTGCAAAAGACATTAGAGATTATTTTAGCTACATTTCAAAAGAAAAGTTACAGTTATTGAAGTCAATTATTGTTGATTTTGCTGACAGAGTGAGATGTCAGAAATATTTTTAAAAATTTTAGGAAAGCTGAAAACTGAAAAATAATGTGGTACTTGAAACATTTAGTCTGTTTAGATTTTTTTTAACCTTAAGAATAGACTGAGAAAGGATCAACTGTGTATTATGATCAATTTGGGGTGGCAGTATTTTTTCTTTGGGGGGGGGGTCATGTCAGTGCATGGTTGGAATTGGAGTTATGGATAATATGTATGTGATAAAGTTTAGCTCTGTCTCTTTTTAGAATGTACACAACTTGCATTTGGGAGACACCAAGTGTGGGGGGAAAGGGTCTTGGTAATGAAAGTGGTACATTTCTTGTACTTATGTAGCACTTTATCATCCTAGGACCCCAACATTTGGTTAGTCCCCCAATCAGGCCCACATTTACATGCTGGTGAGCTGCTTTGTAGCCTTAGACCAGGCATCCCCAAAGTCCTGCAGGTTTTAGAGGTTTCCTTGCTCCAGCACAGCTGATTTTAATTGAAAGCTCATTAACAGGCTTTTGTTCAACTGCAATCATCATAAGCAACTCTGCTAAAGCAAGGAAACCTCTAAAACCTGCAGGACAGCGGTCCTCAAGGACCGACTTTGGGGATGCCTGCCTTAGACCTACAGAAGGGAGGCTACCAGTAGCCCTCTGACCACCAACGGGAAGCAGCACAGATGAAGTTTGCCATTTAAACTTGCCCTTTAAGTAAATTAAATAAACATACTTTTAAATGCCCATCAATAAACAAATGCGCTCTATATTTATTAGATACTGTAGTTTTTTGAGGAACATGTGGACAAAACATGTAAATCATTGTGCTCCTGCCTCTGAAATATAAAACAAGCTCCTTTCTTGGAAATGTGCTTAATTTTAATTTATATTTTTTTGTTAATTTGTTTGAAAACCATTATTTTATAGCTTTCTTTTATTTTTCAGTGAATTGAAAACTGCTATTCATAATTATTTTTCTTTCAGAGGCTCATTATATTCTCTATCAGACTTGAGACTTGATGCTTAAAGTTTATTACAGTTTTTACGTTTCAACAAGATTTGAACCTTATGTCTTTTTATTCAAGGTCAATATAAGAAAATAAATTATGTCTAATTTTTTTTTCTAAAGAAGCTCTATCTGGCCTTTAGTAAAACTATGAAGTCTTATTCTGTTATCATTATGATTTTCCTTCATTTATTTTTGCAGGGAAATGAAGGACCTCCAGGCAGACAAGGACTTCCAGGTCCTCCAGTAAGTATCTGAAGCTCACAAGATTTAGTTTTCCATAATGCCCATAACCTCCACAAAGGTCATGGGTTTGGTGTCCTCATGAGAACATTTTAAAGGTTACTGTGTTAGATTCATGTGTTTGCTACTTGTTCAGCGTTTCCCTTAATAACGAAGCACAAGTGACAAACAAGTGCAAACATGATGAAATTGTGGATCACATTCTTAATAGCACTGAGTCTTGTTCATCCCTTTTAAAGGACGAGTGAGTAAGCACTTCCAGTGGCAAATCTATAATTCATTTGCTGTCTCCTTGAACTTGCTGTGCACTTCCCCAACACACACACACACCCCTCCACACCTTGGTCCTATAAACCTGCTGCTTGGGAAGAAAGGGGATGGCTGAGTGGCCTGAAAAGGGCACAGGCCTTCACTTGCTTCTAAATGAGAACCTTGACTTCTTCTTGGTTTACATTAGCTCCCATTTATAAATCCATCACTAAAAAAACATCCTCTTATAACACTAACCCAAAAGGTTAAGATTACCTTGTTCTCCTACCCAAATCTTTTTCTTTTTAAAAATACTTTTTTAATGTCTGACACCTTGTTTTTGGTACAAGAAAAATCTGTTTTCTCCTTTTTCTACTCCTTTTTTACCTTCTTACTCGTTCTTTCTCCATGTAGTCCCTAAATGAGCTATTGATCCTTCTCATGTAGCTTTTAAAAGCTTAGCTCTCTGTAATTGCTCAAGACCTAAGCACAGTTTTCTGTAAAGGCTCTCTCTGCCTGAAACCAAAGAACTCTTGCAGAGAGGTTGTCTGATTCACTGATTGTGTTTTAGGGTGTGCCGTATGTGGAAGGGAAGGGGATGAGCAGTCTGTACAAGCTCCAGGTAAAAATATAGATTTTAACTCGTTTTGTTAATTGGATTTATTGAATTTGAGGGTACAATACCTCTCAGTGAATTGAGTTTGACCTGTGTTGTGAAATATTTGTCATTATATAAAGAAATGTCTTTGCAGAGTGGTGGAGCTATTTTAGGACCCCCTGGTGCACCTGGTGCCCCGGTAAGTGTTGTTGTGCCTCAGGTAAATCCTTCAAAGTGTGCTGTAAGGGACACTAGCAAAAAGGCATGCTGATACCGTATAAGCTGGGGAGCCTGTGAGATCTGAATAACAAACATCTTGACCGACCCTCCTGTGTTATCGTGGCTCTGAAGCTCTTATATCACAGTCAATCACTGAGGGTTGGCAAGGGCCAAGAGGCGTCCTGACTCCCAAATAGGTGCCTCTGATCCATGCCGGGACACACAACATCATTGATATGCAAAATGAACTTTAGAAGTTCCCATGCTCTCCGCGGTGCCAAGTGGCCTGATTTGCTTATCGCTGCAACCCTCCTTTCCTGCCTTATCAGACAGTTTGTAATCTTGTCCAGTCCAGGGAGACATTAAGTCACTGGCCTTGCAGGCATCCTTTCGCTAAAACGAACACTTAAGGAGGTGACAAAAAGCAGACGTTGTGCTGTCCCATGGTGCACAATGCACATGAACCACTGGTAAATCTTCAGAATGCTACTGCCTGTACTGCATCTATCACCGGCCCAGCAGCGCCTCTGGAGCAATCAATAAGAGAGCTTCCTCATCAGTGTTAAGGACAGGACAGATAATTTATCTTTTTTTTTTTTTTTCAATTCAAAAACTGCAGACCTCGGTTAGTACAGCCTCCATCAAACCTACACTGGATTACTTGATTTATCCCAGAAACACAATTGCAGTATTTTCGTCATTTATGAAAAACTTGGAGAAAAATAAGGCATCAATGAATTACTATGAATTTTACCCACTATAATCAATAACTACATAATACATCGGACGGCTGTCAGGCCTTTAGGGATTGTAGTTATCAAATCTATGGAAGTAAATGTTCTTTCTTGTCTCTTTCTCTTTTAAGGGTCCAAAGGGAGACGAAGGAGCTATTGTGAGTAGAGTTGTCTGTTCTGAAATGTTTATTTTTCATATGAATTACAGAGGGAAAACTTATAGCTACCTATCCTCATTGTCTCCCTGATTTTCTACTGTTTAACACATCAAAAAGCCTTGAGTCAGAGCATTTAACATCTTTCAGTGGAACTACAAAGTACAATGAAAAGAAAAGAAATTACCTTGTCTGCGAAATATATGAGGCCTATGTACGCAATATAATGTCATACCTCTGGGAACTAACAACAACTAACTTCATTTCAAATGTGCCCCTCACCTACTTGCTTTTGTACTAAATTGGGGAAACAATCCATTTGCAATCCACACAGACATAGAACAGTCTCGACTTTTCTGACGTCACCCTGAATTCCTCTTCCCCATGGGACCAATTGCATTTGTCATTGTGCTGGTCACACAGTGATTTTTCACCAGAATGTTAATTTGACATCCTTATAAATTGTGCAGACGGGCTACAGAGCCACAGTGGAATTGCCCCAATCCGTCTCACAGCTGATCCTCTGGCTCGTCCACTCTCCTCCTTTTTCCCGTTAGCCACAATAGCTTATTCCTGACAATCTGCATGTGTGACAATTACCCGGACAATTCATCTCTGTCGGCACCGGTTGCTTCTCTGTTGTGTGTAATGGTGTTTCTCCATGGCAGCCTGAGCAAGAGGAGGTAGATAGAGGCCATCAGTTGCTCAAGAACAGAGAATGGGTCTCTATTTTTAGAGCAGAATAAAGTCTTATTGTGAAAGGGGCTTTTTTTCAGCTAATGGTTCTGTAGCCTACATACTGTAAGAGTGTGTATTTGAATATCTGAAGCTATTCTCCCAGGGCTGTTTGAAACAAATTAATAGATGGAGACATGCATCAATCAAGGACTACAGATAAAAGTAGAGAGATAAATCTAGCAATGGCAGGATATGCAAACAGATACACTTTGTTTCTTTCTACAATTTAGTGAAAAATTATTTTCCCCCTATATGGAAATGCATAAATCTTATAAAAACCCAAAGCTACAGTACGTCTTACAAGTTTCTTCTGTCTTACCAATTACATGTATTATATGATCAGTCATATTTCAATATTAGACAACCTAGAAATGCGTTTTTTTAATTGTAATTCTATTTTCAGCCAGCAGCACCTAGTCCCGCTTAGCACCAGAAAAAGAGAATCAACAGAAGACCTGCTCAAAACATGTCTGACAACACAAAGTTAGGCTAAAAAGGTGTTAACATCCAAACTGGTATCATCAAAAGAAATTCAAGAAAAGATGGAAAAGGAAAAATATGGCAAAGCTTTCGAGGTGTGACCAGCTCTCACAATTACTGAAAGAATGCATTCACAACCGATAATCAAAATCACTTACTGCCTCACTTGTTGATGTTTTCTTAACATCCATGCAGACTCCACACATCCTGGACAAAAACTCAAAGACTTTTACCTTCAGGTCAGCAATACATAGTCCTTTTTGCAGAAACCAACCATCACAGATATGGTTTCTTCCCCCAGGCTGTCTACATACTGTAAACAACAAAATAAACAAAGCTTGAGTTTTCAGCTGTATAAAAAATATATATACAGACGTGAAAACTGACAATGTAAACGCTTAAATGCACATACAGTTTCCTTTATCTGTTATTTGCCTAGAGGGAATTTTTTTGTTTTATTATTTTTAACATCTGTTTGCTGTCAGCTCTTAAAATCAAGTCAAATTCCCTGTTTGTTTACTTGATAGTGGCTAATGAAGCTAATTTTGATTTGTCTGTTCATAATTCAACAATGGTAAAATAAGTAGTCCAAAATGAAATTAATGGAAGAGTTTCAATGGAAAAAACTTTGCTGACCCAAAATTACACAGAGGCCTATTCTGTTACCAAAATATTATCCTAATTAAAGAGTTATCTAAAGGTTCCCAACAAGTTTCCCACTGAACCACTTAAAAATAAAATGGTTTTCGAGGGCCTAGTCAAAGCCAAGATTTAAACAGACTCTTCTTCCATTAAACTATTATGCAAATGAAGCCTAAACTCTAATTGTCAGTTATCACAAACACTTGATGGCTGTCATTTCCAACAAGGATAGCAGAAGCATTTCTCAGGTTTTGTTGCAAATCACTTTATCAGATGGGGTCAGTATGGTTCCGAGCATCTTTTTCTTTGATCAATGAAATCATCATTCGAAAACAATTCACTTAATGTATCTTTATATGATATTAAAATGTGTTTGATGTTTAAAATTTTGTACTGCAACTAAATACATCATTAAATACATGTTAGAGAACAACTGCGTATTTACAGTACCATAAAATTGGTTTATAATTGCTTGTTTATTTAGTTATGTGTTTATGCATTAACATGTTGCTTTATAATTATGTTTGCGGCCAACATTTTGTACATTTGTTGAATGTGAGATAAAAACAGCACCCTGTTTGGCTGCAAAATAGGTGCAAGCAACAGCTCCTAGTCTACATAATTAGTGCCCTCTTCAGCTTGACACAACAGGTGGTGTGTTTTTCTCTCACAGGGGGAACCGGGACCCATGGGCTTACCTGGGCTCGAAGGGCTTCCAGGTGCCAAGGTAGGCAGCAAAAGCGTTTTTCTCCTGCAAATGAGCTTCCCCTGATTGCAACACCACGAAATGTGCATTCTCTCTGGAGAATTCTCATTATACATAGTTAGAAAGTGCTTCTTTGTGAAAGGATGTATCCGTCTTATGGAGAATATAAATGCCGAGCCCTGTGAACATTATAGGTGCTAGTTAAAGTTACGAGCCAGCTTCAGGGAAACTAAATGTTTTTTTAGAGAAATTCAATTACTTGTGTTTCGGTTTAAATATCGCCTGGAGGAATTTCAAGTCGACATTTCCGGAGAGGATATACTGCAATTTGGAGCCAAAGCATTAATGTAATGGCTAACAAAGCACACAGTGAATTGCAAGTGCTGGTGTAGATACATTTTCCTGAAGAGGAGCATCAACTTCTGTAACATCAAGTTTTTTTTTTTTCCTTCTAGAACCATCAGTGGTTTAAAATATGCACATAAGTGCTTACTGTGTAAATATAAACAGAGGTGTGAGAGTTTCAGCCTTTGTATCAGCCTTTAAATCTGCTCATTTAAGGACCATATTATAAGCCTAAATGTTTGCAAAGAAGAATGTCCCAAATCATTAATTTTGAATCATGAAATGCTGGTAGAAATTATTTATCAAACTTAACTACAACTTTGTGTCATTTTCTTTTCACATTACAGCTGTGTTCTGTGTCTTGGTCTGTCTCATAACAACCGCTTTAAATTAATTCAGGTTTTGAGTTTTCATGTTAGAAATTGTGAAAAGGTTTAAATACTACACTGTGCTCCATCAACAATATCTTGCAATATGTCCTGAAAATGAAAGGTTACTCTAATACTTTTGGTGCCATTTCTCTCTCATCTTCCTGATCTTTTTTTTTTTTTTTTCAGGGTGATATCGGCCTCCCAGGTCCCCCTGGGGGAACTGGTCCTCCAGTGAGTATAATGTATTCATTATTCTCTTTATTTGTTATACTTATTGTTCTTATTTTTGCCATGCTTCTTTGTAAAATCCAATTTGTTGTGTTTAAAACCCCAGGTTGCATCAGGTCAGCTGTGTTTCATTACTTTGAAATATGAGTTAGGTAATACTAGACTACTAAGCTTAGAATACTACTGTAATCTGGAGTGTACAGTATAGAGGATTATGGTGCAGCCATACAATAAATGGAAGCCCCCAGATACAACACTACTGAGGACCTATCAAACAAGCTATGTTCTCCTACTATCTCTGTGATTGACAGGGGAAGCCCGGCAGTCGCGGAGAGCCAGGGATCCCTGGAGAACCGGTGAGCTGCAGCCTCAAACTCCTTTTGAACTGTCAATCCCAGCATTATCCCTTTGTCACTGCAGACTGACACCCTCATGGTCTCTGTTCTCTGACAGGGTGAGAGGGGGCCTATCGGAGAGACTGGATTCCCTGGACCTGAAGGACCTCAAGGTGTTCCTGTAAGGACACGACTCTGTTAATCAGCAGATCCTACAATAACATCCACACCTCTTTACGCTTTTAGATTCGTTCTTGATTTTAGCTTTTGTGAAGAAAAGACCAACATGATTCAAGGACAATACGGATGAAATACGTATGCTATCTGCCACTTGTCCTGTAGATGATTATATTCCCACATTCCTCTATGTAATTACCATCAGTGGTGGTTTCTGTAATTTTCCCTGTAAGTGCACAATAGAACAGTGTTCACTCAGCAATCAGGATCATTATCCCTCAGTTGAGATATCTCATTAACTGTGGAGATTACTAGGAGTGCAAAAGCGCTGATCCAATCGAAGGTGGGAGCTGATACAAAATGTCTTTGTTTGTGTTGCGGTTCCTGAGCAGGGGAGGCCTGGAAAAGATGGAACTCCTGGATACAAGGTGAGTTGTTGCAAATCCCCTTATAGAAAGTGCTTTACATCAAGCAGGCTACAGAGAGATGGCGCAGCAGATTTTTATCCCCCCCTTCGGCATCAGCGTGCGGACTGCATTAAACTGATTTGCATATTTTGAGATTTTAACGATAGAAACTAAATGGAATCCTGCAGGTTTAAGGCTTTGTTGACTTTTATTCTTTCTACCCTAATTATACAGTTAATGCTTTCAGACAGTGATAAAACGTTTGTAATAGAGGGCGTTACACACTTCAAATTAATGATGTATTTTTTCGCTTAGTGAACCTGGCTAGAGTTGAAACAAATCCAGCAGAAAAAAGTCTGCTTTTAGATGGCTGATCAAATTTATTATACGCTGTTTACTTCATGAGCACTGAGAACGGTCCTGCAGGATGCAGAACAGATCTGCTTGAATACCCACTCCATACACATTATATGATCCAACACCCAAACTTGACTGATTGTGGTTATTACTGTTTTGCCCAGATATACAAGATGTTTTTCACCTTACACCTAAATAGCAGCCCTAACGCTTTATTGTTTGTTCATTTTTATTATTTAATATTTTGCCACTATAATCTGCGTGTTCCACTGAGGCCATCTACATAGAGGCTCACAATCTGGTGGAACAACAGTGCCATCTAGTAGGTGGCTTTTCTCATCTGCATAGTTTGCTTGCTCACTGCTTTGAGGTTTAATATAATGCTCAGGGAAGCACATTTCAGTGGGCTAGATGATAGATTTAAGCTTCCCATCAGGCAGTGGGGAATACACCATGCTGTAGATTAAAGCAGGCAAGGGAGAATGGCATCACAAAGCAGTGCCCGCTTTAAAACCACATCATGCCAGATGTCATGTCTTTTCCATGCCTCCTGTAATCCAGCGGGAAATTGATACAAAGATGCTCCCTGAGGTAATAGTATGAGCAAAGTAAAAGGAAGCAATGAGGAGTGACAGGAAGGGGACTGCATGACTCAAGATGTTGTGACATGAAGCCGGAGACAGGTATTTTCCTCGCGGCTCATCCGTACAGTAGAGACAGCTGGTGGGAAAGCAGACCTTTTTCAAACAAATCTAGAGTGATGGAGAGGAGCTGTGACATTGCAGAAGGTTAAACACTATACTGAGAAATGTTATGCAAGCAGCAGAAGCTAAGCAGAGTTTAAAGCATTCAAAGCACAATCATTAGAAAACAGTCAACGTTTGTTGGAGTCATGCATTTTCGAGGGAGACAGGTTTGAGTTTTTCGAAAAATGAACAGTGAAGGACTTCATAGAGCTTTGAGCTGCAATACCAGTTTAAGCCAAATCCAGACAGTTTATTTAAAAATGAATTGTGAATCAATTAATTTTCTGCTTCCTTGATAAATGGCAAAAAAAAACAAATTGAAATGTTTATAGGATAATAAAACAATACATTAAAAAAACATTCTAGTAAACCCCTGATCATAACCATCCAAAGAATACAAGCATTATTAAATTAACACAAACTAAAAAGGATTACAATATACTTTACATAGCTTTTTTTTTTTTTTTGCACGCTTCCATTATATTTAGCTTGTATATTTTATCTTTTTAAGTCAATATCCGAGAAAGTAAAGCTCTGATTGTTGATTTGTTTTTCATTTGTCCGTTTAAACTATTCAAAACTCTTAACTCAACAATCAAATGTTGTTTATAAAAGATATTTAAAATAAAATGTACTATGCACGGTGTGTGTGAAAGCAGGCAAAGCCACACAGCACAACTTTTACATAAAGTTTCACATCTTAAAGTGTCCTTAGCATCTAATATTTTGTGTTAGCACAAAAAATTCTGTTTTTAGAGGCGATAGTGACATACAGTGACGTACAGAAGTTCGTCCTCCAACCAGAGGGTCAATGTTAGAAACCCAGTTTCATCCATCTTAGTCTTTGTGTCCTTCAGCAATATTTCATCCCCATTGTTTACAGATAATGGTCAGAGGTCTTAATGGCAGTGTGCCCCTGCACAGCTATGGCTACACTGTAGCTTGCCGCCATCAGTGTGTGAATGTGCGTGAATGGCTGAATGCCTCACTGAGACTGAAATGACCTAACTGAGTCTTCTTCATGCAGTAGCCACTTTTACTCAGAGTAACCTGTAGCGTTCACACATGATGCGACTGGCTTATCTTGATCATAATGCATAAAATATGTACTTGTACTCGTCTTCTGCTTATACGGGAACGGGTCACAGGGGCAGGATTCTCTGCAGAGATAAGCCTGAGGGGCTACAGGGTCAAACAGGAGCCATAGTCCCGCCAGTGTTTCAGATTTTACAGTGGAAATAGTGTAAAATTGGTCATTCATCAGCCAATTTCTTAGTGCATCTCTAAAATTTTAAGGATTTTATAAGTTACCTCTTCCTTAAAATAGATGATAAACTTCTTTTACTTTTCTAGTGAAGCTCTTAAGTCTGTGTGTTTTTTTTTTCTTCCTGCAGGGATCCACAGGTGTACCAGGTGACAGGGGATCCAAAGGAGAACGTGTAAGTAGCATAACTCTTTCCAAATAAAAGCTGGTTCAAACATTAATGCTAAAAATGTGTTCATAGAATGGAAATGAATGAATGGTAATGAAAGTCACAATGAATGTGCGTTTCAGCACAAATATTACTAATCCCACAAGCACATGAGCACCGGAAAAAAAGGCATTTAACGCTTAGTGCAGCTTTTCATTGTGTTTGTCAAGCTTCGTCACAGTTGCTCAGTAATCTTTTTTTCAAATGTTGCTATTAGAGGAGAAAATTAGACTTTTAACGTTTTTACCAACAGAAGAATGCTCTGCAGGTGAGAGAAACTGACAAAATGGATCATAGTTCATGGCATGGTTAGGGACTTTATCAGGCCTTACAGTTTGGGTTTTCTGCAACTACAAGCCCAGCAGAAATTTACATACATCCATATTAGTGGGAAATGTGCTGCAAAACTGTCCAATGGGGGATTTTTCATAGGATTCGTAATGGAGCCATTTTCATTGTCTTTATAGGTTTGATGCCAGACAAATCTGAGTAAACAGTAGAACGTATAGACAAATTGATCAGTTTAAACTTTCTTCCTTTTTTTTTCCTATATCAAAGACCAAGCTAAGACCTACTAATGTGGCTGTGTTACATAAACTATAATAGGTGCTGTTCAATAAACCTTTGGTCCAGGCCCGCCTAGTACCATCAAGCTTTGGCAAAATCCACACAGAAACTGTGATTTTTTTTTTCTTATGTTTTAAAGAAATCAAATCAGTATTAAGGATCGTAGTTTTTTATCATATATAAAGCCAATCTTTTAATGGTTCTGTCTTTGGTTCTTTCATATCTACTAGCCCTATCAAAGACTTTGTTATACATATTGTATTTTTTCACATGTTCCAGTGCTAAAAAGTGAGAATTTGTAATAACATATACAGTAATATGCTAACTTCCGATTTTGAAATTAGTCAAATAAGTCTTGACTAATTTGTAGTTTCACGTAATCCCAAGCATGATATTATATTATATTGATATTTTTACTGTTGCATTTTCAAAGACCATATTATCAAAATCAGCTTCTTTTTTTAACCACAGGGTGATCCAGGCATTCCAGGAGAAAGAGGTGTTCAAGGTGAGAGAGGTCGTGTAGGAGATCCTGGCCCCATTGGACCAATGGGACCACCAGGAGGAAAAGGAGATCCTGGCCCCCCCGGACAATTAGGCAGTGTAAAACTGCTGGTGAGTTGCAAAACATGTTTTTTTTCCCATGAAAAGATTCTGTACCTATAGAATTAAAGTCATTTGACAGGATACTGCAGTTTGTATAACTAGTGTAGCTTCTTCCTGCCTGGATGGAAAGCAATGTATCTACAGCTTTCTGCATAAAAAAACATCAAACTAAGCTGAGCAGGGAGCTCACTGTTCATTCTCTGCTCAACGCTTCCCACTCCCGATCATCTAGGCGTAACAGAAGGTCAAAGCAGGAGAGAGTCGGAAGCAGAGGGAAAGACAGAGATATGTGGGCGTGCCAAGAGCTCTGCAGAGCGGAGAAAACACCTCCATCTGTCACACACATTTTACGCTCATTGTAGTTATATAACATCCAGAGTGATGAAAAGCTGTTTTGAATGCAACAATACAACATTGAAGCCTATTGTGTGTCGTTGTTATGAATCCTGCCCTGGAAAGCAATGCAGTTGGAAACAGTTCCTCACTCACATAAACCTGAGACTGAAAGTCCTTTGAGTGGAACAACATGTACTGTATGTGGATAAGTAAAGAACTATTTTCACAGCTTTTTTTTTTATTCCTTTAGCTGTTCACCACAGCAGACAAGGCATACCGCTAAAAGAGAATGGTTTTAATGAAAAAATTAATAAAAATGATCGGTAACCTTCAATATCTGGCTCACCCAAAACTGTGAAACCCAGAACCCAGAACAGCTTCTAAGCAGCTTTGGCAACATTCTTTAAAGCAAAAACGAAAAATCACCTTGTGAGCAATTTGCTGATATTTTGGGTTAAAACAGCTCCCTTTTGTTGAAGAGGTTTGCCAGAGCATTCACAGTGTTAGCACTCCCCTCTTTTCTATCGCATATGTGTGCCCCGCAGAGCAGCTGCACCTTGAACACAACTTGAACTGCTGAAAAAGGATAGCCAAAATGTTTAAGAAACTCTGCTGAGGTATTGAAAAGCAGAAGAATAAAAACACGACAGGACATGTTATTATTTTAGAAGAGCAACGTTTTAATATACATACTGAAATACACGTTGCTTTTAGTTCAAGGCGTGTATCTCTTAAATGAACTTAAATAGTGCAGAAAAAAAAATTGTCATAATTTGTAAAAACATGTTTTAAGTAGTTTATATTTGTCTTATGTCCCATCAAGTTGTTTTACATATACTGAATTGAAGTATAAAGGCAGTATTCACATTTAAAAGGTAGAATGACACGATCCCAGATAATTATTATTATAAAGTTATAATAACCATATATCATCAACGTTTTTCAGATGGTTGTGCTATTCTTCCATTTGTGGATTTTATTAGAAATGTATTCTCGCATCATGCTTACCTTATTTTAGCTGCCATGGTCAGAGACCAGGCGATACATTACCAGTACTACAAGCTGATATTTATTTACATTTCATGAATCAGATCCTTGCATCAACATTTTTGCAATTAGAGATAGTAAATTGCCATGTTAGGAACTGGTTTGATGAAAAATAAATTATAAAAAAAAATCTAATAAACAATTGTCTCTATGTTGGGTAGCCATGTTAAAATACAATTTAAGTCGGGGTGCAACTAATGATTATTTTGCAAATTTATTAATCTCTTGATTATTTTTTTTTTTTTTGATAAATCGATTAATAGCGAGACAGCCAAAGGTTCCTGAAAGAAGTTTTTTTTTTATTTTTTACAAAATGTAACCCGGTAAAACTAAAACTTTTCCACTTTAGGAGCTCTATATAGAGCATGTTGGCAGACAATTTTATTTTTTTTTTATCTCAAATGCAAGATGTTTATATATGATTTTACAATTTTGGTATAATTGCTGCTCTAAGTTGGTTGCTCTATTAGCTAAAAGCATGTTTTACGGTTTCTGCAATCCAGTTAAAGATTAATCAATTAGTAAATAAGCTGTTAATTATTTCAATGATCGATTAATCACAATTAATCCAATTAATTGTTTCAACCCTAAATTTAAGATCGTGGTTTTCTTTTCCCACGCAAATATGGCAAAAAAACATGTTATTATAAAAAGAGCAAAGCATAAATTTGGTCCATAAAAGATTAAAAAGCACCATAAATGAGATAAACTGGCATGGAGACACTCAGAAGTCACATGTTTCAGTCAATGTCCACAAAGTTTAAATGAACATGTCTTAGTTAAAAACAAGACCTCACCACAATAAGATGTAAATATTACACACTTCCAATGAGTTAACTCAGTTCTCCAATATGACCACCCATTAATAAATGCTGACAGGCTGACTTTAGTCCATTTTATTACATGACTGTAACAATACCTTGCTTTAGCAAATGGTTTATAGACTTTCTTACTGCTAAAATATTCTGGATGTTTTTATATTTATACTATATGTCTTTATAATAGCCTAGGATATTTCAGAGGCACACAGAGCTAACATAATTCCTCTGTGGCTCAGGGTGCATCACTGCAGTGCTGAACATAAAGTAATAGCCCTTTGGAGAGTTACACTATCAAATTTAATATACCTGGCTAAATCTGCTTTATTTCATGCTGAGCTCAGATCATGAGCTGAGGTAGAAAGAGATCCTAGAGGAGAATTTTAAAGTATAGAACTGTATCTTTTTTTCTTTCCTTCATTTCAACAGTTTATGGCTTCAAAAAAGGGGAAAATCTATTTAATTGTCATGCCATGATAACTATAATCGGCACCGTGTGTCCTTTCCTGCATTTGACTGAGAATAAAGGTTTAGCTTGTGTTTTCTCCTAATTGGATTTTTTATTCCATCATGCCTGAGTTAAAACGCGTCAGAGAATTATTTTTTTATCCCCTCTTCACACAGGATGATCCCAGCTTTACAGAAGAACTCAAAATCTTTATCCAAAGTGAAGTAATAAGGATTTTTGAAGGTAAAAATAGTTTGACATTTAATATATTTGATGTGTTTTCATTCTTTTAACACCTCCTCTCTTTATGTCACCCTCCAAGTGTTTTACCTCTACAGTTTTTTTTTTTTTTATATATTAATTTCCTGTCTTGCAGAGAAAGTTTCTGGCGCTGCTATGCAACAGAAAACACCTGCTGGGATCTTAGCTTCACCCTTCCAAGGTCCTCCAGGACCACCTGGCAAGGATGGGTCACCTGGTCCACCAGGAGAGCCTGGGCCTCCGGGCCCTCAAGGTAGGAGCTCAAAGCTTAAATGCTCGACTGCCAACTGCAGGGAATTAACCAGAAAATATAACACTAATGGTTTAAACTACATTTTAGGATTTTAATTTACTAATTATTTATCAGGAGCTTCGCCTCCACCACTTTTCCACATTTTGTCATCTTACAGCCACCAAACCGTGGTGCCTTTGTTTGGCCTTGCTTTAGTAAACCAACACAAAGTAGTAAATATTTATGAAGGGGTAAAACATCAGAATTAGTAAGAAGTCACATAATGCATAGTTTTCTGATTTTTATAAAGATCCAAAAAGAGGTAACACTTTTACATTTACCCCCTCTACTCTAATCCGCCTCAATAAAATCCTTTTTTGCCCAATTCTCCTCTGAAATCACCTGTTTTCCAAATACCAGCCACCTTTGTCCAGTCCTTAAGAGTGAATGAATCAATTTTTAGAATTCCCTCATTAGCATTTCATTCAGCTCCAAAGAAGCCTAGTAATAATCCATTCCTATTATTGAGGTGTGTTAGGAAAGGAATCCATCTGAATGTGTCAGGATAGCTGCTCTCGAGTACTGGACCTGAGTGGAGCTGCCAAGAGACCCATTGTAACTCATCCATACAACCCTGCAGCTCAGAGTGAAGATTCATTTGACAGGAGAGCTATTAGTTCTGCACTGAACAAATCTGATTTTTGGAAAAAGAAATAGCAACAACAAAAAAAAGCCATTGCTAAATAAGAGGTCCAGTTTGCAGTTTCCCAAAAGATATATAGAGTAGATGGTAAGCATGTGAAAGAAGAAAGAGTTTTGCCTACATGGAAAAATTAAAACTGAACATGCCATTCATATGGAGAAAAACAGTGGTTGCATCATCATGTTGTGTGTATTTATTGGGGGGTGTAATCACAGGCAAGGAAGCTATTTAGAGATGATGGGAAGCTGAAATTCAAGATGATCTTAAAAGGAAACCTGTTCAAGGCTGCATCTTGGAAAAGAAGAGAAAACATGTAGCCAAAGCTAAAACGAAACCCTGTGGTTAGAATGGCAGTCAAAGGTCAGACTTATATCTTACCAATTTCAGAGATGCTCTCCAGTCCCCAGCCTTAGCCTGGGCCTATTTACAAGAAATAATGTGAGAAAATGTAATGCTTCGGATTTTACCAAGGTAAGTTAGTATTTGTTCTGGATGGTGAAGAAATATACTGGCCTCATGTCTAATTGTCATTTAATGAAATACCGTTTTACCTATAAAAAAAATTAAAAATGGATATGATTCCCTTTAGATTTACAATATTTGAACACTTAATGTTAGTTATCTATCTATCTATCTATCT